ATGTAAAACATTATGACATCATTTTGGCGCCATTTTCTAATATGTTCACTGCCTATATAAACCTGTATGTAACAGGATGTACTTTCTGATCTCCACTTGATAAAGCCTAAGGGCGAAACGCGTTGTGTTTTTTTTAAACTATATTGTTTTAAATAAAGGTATTTTGGCCACTTTCTTACTGTGAGTTAGCCATCTTACTTTTTATTACTATTATCATTTTACTTTTTTACTACTACCATCCTTTTATCCGGCACCAGAAGTGTTTTTACTTTCCAGTGAGGGTATTACTCCCAAGAATCCTAGGTGGGGATTATACCACTCAAGCTGTATTCATTGAACAGTTAGTCTGTTCAACTAAATGTGAGTAACCACTTGGTTTTTTATCTTCTCACCTCTGGCATTTTATACTTTGAGCACCATTGTTGTTCCCGCTTTTATTTCCACATATGGTTCCCTAATCAAGAAAGAATACTAAGACCTCACGTATCCCATAAGTGGGGATTATACCTCTGTACGTTATCAACACTTGATAAAATCTTTTTAGATAAAAAGCCGGTATTAAGGATTTTGGCGGATGGTGTCGTGTATAGTGCCAGTATTGCTCTTAAGAAGTTAGCCGGGAACCCAAATTTTTTAAGGACCTTTGTCATGTACACCCAATGTAGGCGGTCAAAGACCTTTTCAGCATCTAATGCCAGCAAAAGCCCCGACCTTTTTTCTCTTTTCATTATTTCAACATGATCCAGAAAACGCCTTGTATTATGTCCTGCCTGTCGGCCTGGTACAAATCCTGCCTGCTCTTGGGAAACCAGTTCGGGTAACAATTAGTCCATAGCTCTTGAAAACGTGAGTAGGACCATATACTCTTTTATTGCTTCTACCCCCTTCGGGACATACTATACCATCAGTTGTTATTTTCTCATTTCATATGATGTACAAAGACGCATCTACACCACTCTGAAGAATCCCCCACTACAAAAGACTGTATTCACCTCTACAAAGATATACCTCGTTGTTTGATTCATCTACCAGTCAGACTATTTATTCTGGACTTCTCATTGCTTATTATCTATCATATATATTGCATTCTAGTCTGCCTATTCTGTGCTCTTTTAATTTATGTGGTTTATAGTGGCGCTGCCTTCCTTTCTTTTTTCTGTACCATTTCTGTTGTAAGGCCTGTGAGGGAGCCCTACTTTTTAGGTGTGCTGCCACTTTTTACTTATTTATTATTGTTTCTGTTGTATTTTGTATAGATAGAGAGCGCTGATCCCTTTCTTCTGTTCTATACTAGTGGGTTGTGGAACTGTGTTATCCCCAGTGAGGTTGTATAGTCGTTCATAGTATTTTGAAAAATGCATTCAGTATACTGGATGGGTTTGTTAGTTTCACCCCCTGTGGAAAACAATTGAGGTGATTTTGGTCTGAGCATATTTTTGTCAGGAGTTTACCTGCTTTGTTGCCCTGTTGGTACTGATGCTGTTTAAGTTTCAGCATGTAACGTTCTGTCGTGCGTAATTGTATGCGGTGGATTTCGCTACGTACCCTGTTTAATTGTTTGCCCAGTTTCTTGGATGGATTAGCCTTGTTCTGAGCTTCTATCTCCGCTACGTTTAGAGTCAGTCTGCTTGATTCCGATTCCTGCCTTTTCCTTTTGTTAGCTCCCAGTTGTATTAGTAGACCTCTCATGACGGCCTTGTTAGCTACCCATGTTGTGGCCATAGGAGTAGTGTGATGTGGATTGTCTACAAAGTAATGTCATGTCTTTGCCTAGTTGCACGTCTGGCTTATTGAGTAAAAGTGAGTCGTTCAGGCGCCACACTCCTCTGCCCCTCGTAGGGTATAATGTACGTATATGAGCTTTTACGGGGGCATGGTCCAACCAGGTGATTGGGTCAATGGTCACCACCTTTAGGTTATGTAGGTTAGTTCTGTCCGTCAGGCAGAGGTCAAATCTAGAGTACGAGTTATGCACATGTGAGAAGTGTGTGTAGTCTTTGGTCGTAGGGTAGAAAGTGCGCCATGTGTCAAACAGGTCGTATTTAGAAAGTAATGAGCTAAATTGTTTACATAATCGTCATTTTCTCGCTTACGCCGGCATTCCCGTGTTTGTATCTAGTGTGGGATCTAATATGCAATTAAAGTCCCCGCAAATGTAAAGTTGTCCTTTTTTCTTCTTGTGGATCTTATTATTATTTTATTATTTATATAGATTCCGTAGCTATTACATCTCGCATTTGGAAAACCCCTATCTCTCTTAAAGGTGCCGTAAGGCTTGTATATTCCTGGCGCAGGCTTCAGGGCTAGGTTACGTGGGTTAATCCTAGCTCACAATGTACATTTTAACCAGGGGGGGATATGTGATGGTATCCAGCTGTCTCCCCATGCTTGGAGCCCAACAAGGTAGCGTGGGTGTCACTAGAATCATAGCTAAGCACCCCTTTTGAGACTACATATACCTATCACCTAAACTAACAGTGTGTTTAATTATTAGGTCAATACTATGTACTTATCATTTATCTAACTTCCGCAACTAAGGGTATTACAAAATAAGAAGAGATATATTTGCCAGAGGCTCAAGGAAGCAAGGTGAAGGGTCAGTGTAGGACCCATCTAGGGGGGTCTGCCTTGACGTTGGCAGGTGGGCATTCCCTCCAATGGCCATTGGAGTAACTAAATGACCTCCATTTGTTTAAATATACATAGGGATTAAGGAGAGAGCGCAGGTAACGTTTTCTTTGGTTTTTACTATATAAATTGGGGCTGATGTGTTCTGTGGTCGTTGCTGCCACCCAGGAGTGATAGGAGTGAGCGCAGGACTTATCTTTTTGTATTTATATACACATACCTATCACCTTAACTAATGGTGTGATTAATTATTAGGTCAATATTATGTACTTATAATTTCTCTAACTTCCGCAACTAAGGGTATTGCAAAACAAGAAGAACAAAACCAGGTACTTATCAGTAACCATCTGTGCAATAAGCAGTGGTGGTGCATTTCCCATAGGAATGTCCATGCTAGCCATCCCAACTTGGTTGTGTGAGAATGTCTGTAGATGAAACAATCTTTTCTTAAAACGTCCTTTTATGTTCTTCTTGCCTTCTGCCCAGTGAGATGGTCGAGGTGGTTGTTATATCACTTTGCATGAGGCCCCATTGTTTCCGGGCTGTTCACCACGGTGAGGGCTCCCATCTGTATGGTATATTGTTATTTCGTAGGACTTTAGTGGTGTCAATGTATTCCCTCCTCTTACTCATGGTGGCAGCTGATAGATCCACAAACAACGAGATGCTTCTCATGTGGGTCGGCATTTCTGGTTGCTGCCTTTGGGCTTGTAGCAGTGCTTCCTTGCTCCTGTAATAGTGTAGTCTCACTACAATGTCTCTCTGCACATCCTCAGCTAAGTTGCACAACTTTGGCTCCCTATGCGCTCTGTCCATCATCATTTCAGGGTAAGTGGCAGAGAGGTTCAGTTGTTTAAAGTATGCCCCCAGGATCTTTGGGATTCCATCGGGTGTTATGGACTCCAGCACCCCTCTCACCCGTAGGTTGTTCCTCTTTAAGCGGTCCTCCATGTCAGCCATTTTATTCCTCATGGTTTTATTATCTTCCTCCAATTTCAATATTTTCTCTGCTATCCCATTGTTGGCTGTGCAGAGGTAATCAGTTTTGTTTTCCAACGCCGCCGTCCGCGACCCCAGATCATCAATTTCTTTGCGGAGGTCTTCTGCTATTTCTTTATAATCAGGGCCAGATTAAGAGCCCAGTGGACCTGGTGCTGACAATTATGACGGGCCTAATTACAGAATCATATCGACCAAAAACAGTAAAACTCTCCCAAGCGTCATGTATCTGATGGAGATGGTGCTGGAGAGATAGAAAACAGCAGCTATAAGAAAACACATACCCTAGGCTAATCTCTCTCTAATTTATGTTTTCATCTTTCAACCCCTAACAGCAGTGTCCAGTCAAGCAGGAAGTCAATGGGCATGGTAAAAGGGTGTGCCACTGACACAAATCACGTAACCAGCCAAAAGGGGCGAACATGCCCAAAAAGAGGACATGTCTGCTCAAAGAATTAGAAGGCCAGCCTGGCATGAATGCATGTCAGGCTGCCTGCCAATCATGCAGCTGGCCAACTAAGGGCATACTATGCAGACAGCACCCTGAGCTTGGCATAAATGCATCTAATTATGCGCTTGCGCAACGTTTTTTAAGGACTGTCCCCTAGCACTCGCTGGTCCACTTGTCTCCTTACCTTCTTACTAGCAGGCAGAAGCTCCTGGTATATAGTCTGGGACAGAGAAAAGCTGTATGTAGTGAGTGAAGAAGAAAGGGAACATGCCAAGTGTAAGAGAGACCAAAGTCAGCATTACCTTAAAGGATCACTATAGGGTCAGGAACGCAAACATTAATTCATGACCCTATAGTGGTAACACCACCATCTAGCCCTCCCTGGGCCCCTCATGCCTCCATAAATATAGCAAAATCTTACTGTAGTCAAGCCTGAAGCTGTAACTCTGCATGCTGTTAGACTCAGAAAAACAAGCAGTCTGCTGACATCATTAGATGTGGTGACCTAATCCAATCACAGTGCTTACCCATAGGATTGGCTGAGACTGACAAAGAGGCAGATCAGGGGCAGAGCCAGCATGATTCAAACACAGCCCTGGCCAATCAGCATCTCCTCATAGAGATGAATTTAATCAATGAATCTCTATGAGGAAAGTTCAGTGTCTGTATGCAGAGGGAGGAGACGCTGAATGTTTGGATGCATTTTAGGCAGCCATGACCCAGGAAGGATCTCTAACAGCCATTTAAGGAGTGGCCAGTGAAGTTATCACTAGGCTGTAATGTAAAGACGGCATTTTCTCTGAAAAGACAGTGTTTACAGCAAAAACCCTGAAGGTAATGATTCTACTCACCAGAACAAATTCAATAAGCTGTAGCTGTTCTGGTGACTTTAGTGTCCCTTTAACTATATTGATTGTCAGCCAGTCCACACAAGTTTTGTTCCCATACATCCCTCTTAAGTTTCCATACTTAAGTAAGGGTATGTGAAAAGTAGTTAGGGTTGCCACCTTTCTTGGAAAAACATACCAGCCTTGCTAATTTGCATAATTAAATATGTGTGGGTGACATCACATGATGTAAATCACAAGGAGTGACATAAGAGAAAATGCTGTAAAATCACCAAAAAACTACTTAGGTTGATTCTGCTGTATAGATGGATTCCTCCCAGTAGCCCCATGTCTCCCAGTGCCCCCATGTGTCGATTACTCCTGGTCTCAGTGTTCCTATGTATCAGTGTCTCAGTGCCCCATGTCTCCCAGTGTCCCCTAGTGTCGTGTCCTATGTATCACAGTGTCTCAATGCCCCGTGTCTCCCTGTGTCCCCATGTATCCCAGATTTCCCATGTCACTAGGAAGACGGGAAGACCTGGGGACACCTAGGGACACAGAGACACCAGTGGCACTGGGAGACTAGGGGACTCTGGCTGGGACGCATGGGGACACTGGGAAAATAGGGGACACTTGAAGACATGGGGACACAGACACCAGGGACACAGACACTAGAGACACTGGCTGGGGGAGAAGGGAAAATTGAGACATGGGGGCACTGGGAGACATGGAGGCACTAGAAGACATGGGAACAGTGAGACACTGGCAGACTGGGGGCACTGGGAGACTAAGGGGCACTGAGACACCAGGGACACTGGCTGGGAGACATGGGGACACTGTGTCCCCATGTGTCTGTGTCATAATGTCTCCCAGTGTCCCTTAGTGTCTCAGTGTCTGTGTCATAATGTCTCCCAGTGTCCCTTAGTGTCTTACTATATGTCTCCTTGCAGCCTGTCCCCCCATCCCTTACTTCCCTGAGCTGTAGGCTGTCTCTGCAGGGTGGGAGTTGCTGTCTGGACTCTCTGTAGCTGCACCCCTGCAGATCAGTGAGTATAGATAGGCAGGGAGGGATATGCTGGAACATCCTATCCCTGCCTGTCTCCACACACACAGTGACCCCTACTGGCCAGTGCTGGTATTGCAGAGTTATCTCTTGTTTATACTTGATTTTTATAAATCAATGGGCCTATTCCATGGGCCTGGGCCTGGGCCTGGAGCTGCAGCTCCATCAGCCCCTATGTTAATCCGGCCCTGTTTGTAATCTTCCTTTAGACAGGAACATAGTTGGTGCAGCATATTTTCCAGTCTGTGTTTCGTCACCGGCTTTCATCCAAGCCACCTGTGAGGTCTTCTTCTGACCCGGCATCTGATAGACACGACAACGAGGTTGCACCGCCGCCATCTTGGATTGGCAGCAGTTTTTTTTTCTTCCCTGCCTAGAAGAAATCTTGTGTTCTCTGGGTTTTTGGAGGGGTCATTGTGAACGCTGTGTTGTTTTAGGCCCGAACTGCCGTGGAGCTAGCCCGCTATATGACCTTCTAGCAGCCACAGAAGTTCTTAGCCCGACTATTTAGATTTCTAATGTGGAGCTTTGTTATACACTCAGACACATTACTGGGAGTATTATTGCTGTGGAGCTCTGTTTTACAAACAGACACATTACTGAGAGTGTTATTGCTGTGGAGCTCTGTTATACACTCAGTCACATTACTGGGAGTAGAACTGCTGTGGAGCTCTGTTATACACTCAGTCACATTACTGGGAGTAGAACTGCTGTGGAGCTCTGTTATACACTCTGACACATTACTGGGAGTATTATTGCTGTGGAGCTCTGTAATACGCTCAGACACATTACTGGGAGTATTATTACTGTGGAGCTCTTTTATACACTCCGTCACATTACTAGGAGTATTATTGCTGCGGAGCTCTGTTATACACTCAGACACATTACTGTGACTAGTATTGCTGTGGAGCTCTGTTATACACTCAGTCACATTACTGGGAGTAGAACTGCTGTGGAGCTCTGTTATACACTCAGTCACATTACTGGGAGTAGAACTGCTGTGGAGCTCTGTTATACACTCAGACACATTACTGGGAGTATTATTGCTGTGAAGCTCTGTTATACAATCAGACACATTACTGGGAGTATTATTGCTGTGGAGCTCTGTTATACACTCAGACACATTACTGGGAGTATTATTGCTGTGGAGCTCTGTTATACACTCAGACACATTACTGGGAGTATTATTGCTGTGGAGCTCTGTAATACACTCAGACACATTACTGGAAGTTTTATTGATGTGGAGCTCTGTTATACATTCAGTCACATTACTGGGAGTATTATTGCTGTGGAGCTCTGTTATACACTCAGACACATTACTGGGAGTATTATTGCTGTGGAGCTCTGTTATACACTCCAACACATTACTGGGAGTATTATTGCTGTGGAGCTCTGTAATACGCTCAGACACATTACTGGGAGTATTATTACTGTGGAGCTCTTTTACACTCCGTCACATTACTAGGAGTATTATTGCTGCGGAGCTCTGTTATACACTCAGTGTATTACTAGGAGTATTATTGCTGTGGGGCTCTGTGATACACTCAGACACACCAACAATATGGAGCTCCTAGAAAAGAGGGACATTAGGATAGAAAAGAGGGACAGAGGGATTTGTACACAAATAAGATTGTTCCTCCCAAATAGGGACACTTGGGAGCAGTGGCAGAACTACCACAATCACAGGAGTCACAGCTGCGGAGACACTCCAGGGGGCCCGGCCGCCCTGCGGACCCCTGCAGCCAGGTAACCGCTACCGTGTGTTGCGGCTCTGGCCCGTGCAGTATAACCGCCCTTACAGCATGAGCCACCCGATGGCAAAGTATTACCTGGGGGCCCAGTGAGCACTGCAGCACTTTAACAGCGCAAACGGGCTCCCTGAGATGAGATTAGACACTGGAAGGAAGTGACTGCCCTGGTCACTCCTCCCAGCAATCAGAGAGGAAGGTGTCTGATAGAATGTTATTTTTTTTTATGCTTATTGATCTGACTCCCATCAGCCTGGGCCACCACTGGACCCAGGGAAAGTCACACTCCTGCACCTAAAAGATAGGAAACAGGAGGGTGACTTAAACATTTTGCATGTGTGTGTGTTAGTGTATGTGTGTTTGTATGTCTGAATGTATATGTATGTGTGTCTGTATGTATTGGTCTCTGGGTGTGTGTGTCTGTGCGTGTGCCTCTGTATGTGTGTGTGTTAGTGTATGTGTGTTTGTATGTCTGCATGTATTGGTCTCTGGGTGTGTGTGTCTGTGCATGTGCCTCTGTATGTGTGTGTGTCTCTGTATGTGTTTGTCTCTGAGTGTATGTGTCTACATATCTGTATGTCAGTGCGTGCCCTGTGTATCTGTATGTGTCATTCTGTGTATTTGAATGTTTGTCATGTTTGTGTATCTGTCTGTGTATCTGCCTGTATGTCTGTGTATCTGCATTTGTGTCAGTGTTTGTATCTATAAGCGCTGCGGAATAAGCTGGCAAGCTATATATATATATATATATATATATATATATATATATGTGTATATATATATATATATATATATATATATATATATGTCATTCTGTGTATCTAAAAGTGTGTAATTCTGTGTGTCCAGGGCCGGATTAACATAGGGGCTGATGGAGCTGCAGCTCCAGGCCCATGGAAAAGGCCCATTGATTTATAAAAAAATAAACATTTTTTTTTTTTTACATTTTTTTTTTTTCACACACTACTCTTAGGGATTCCACCTGGCTTTTATTTTATTGGCACAGCCAGTATTTGAGGCTGCCTTGCTGGTGCCAATATTGCAGTGATACTGGCAATACAAATGCTGGTATTTTTCTCAGTATAAACAAGAGATAACTCTGCAATACCAGCACTGGCCAGTAGGGGTCGCTGTGTGGTGGAGACAGGCAGGGATAGGACGTTCCAGCATATCCCTCCCTGCCTATCTATACTCACTGATCTGCAGGGGTGCAGCTACAGAGAGTCCAGACAGCAACTCCCACCCTGCAGAGACAGCCTACAGCTCAGGGAAGTATGTCTCCCAGCCAGTGTCCCTGGTGTCTCAGTGCCCCCTTGTCTCCCAGTGCCCCCAGTCTGCCAGTGTCTCACTGTTCCCATGTCTTCTAGTGCCTCCATGTCTCCCAGTGCCTCAAGTGTCTCAATGTCCCCATGTCTCCAAGCTAGTGTCCCTAGTGTCTGTGGCCTTGGTGTCTCCTTGTCCCCATGCCTCCCAGTGCCCCCATGTCTCAATTTTCCCATCTCCCCCAGCCAGTGTCTCTAGTGTCTGTGTCCCTGGTGTCTGTGTCCCCATGTCTTCAAGTGTCCCCTATTTTCCCAGTGTCCCCATGCGTCCCAGCCAGAGTCCCCTAGTCTCCCAGTGTCACTGGTGTCTCCGTGTCCCTAGATCTCCCCGTGTCCCCAGGTCTTCCCGTCTTCCTAGTGATATGGGGACCCTGGGATACATGGGGAAACAGGGAGACATGGGGCATTGAGACACTGTAATACATAGGATCACTGGGAGACCTGGGGACACGACACTAGGGGACACTGGGAGACATGGGGCACTGAGACACTGATACATAGGAACACTGAGACCTGGAGTAATCGACACATGGGGGCACTGGGAGACATGGGGCCACTGGGAGGAATCCATCTATACAGCAGAATCAAACTAAGTAGTTTTTTGGTGATTTTACAGCATTTTCTCTTATGTCACTCCTTGTGATTTACATCATGTAATGTCACCAATACATATTTAATTATGCAAATTAGCAATGCCGGTATGTTTTTCCAAGAAAGGTGGCAACCCTAACTACTTTTCACATACTCTTACTTAAGTATGGAAACTTAAGAGGGATGTATGGGAACAAAACTTGTGTGGACTGGCTGACAATCAATAAAGTTAAAGGGACACTATAGTCACCAGAACAACTACAGCTTATTGAATTTGTTCTGGTGAGTAGAATCATTACCTTCAGGCTTTTTGCTGTAAACACTGTCTTTTCAGAGAAAATGCCGTCTTTACATTACAGCCTAGTGATAACTTCACTGGCCACTCCTTAAATGGCTGTTAGAGATCCTTCCTGGGTCATGGCTGCCTAAAATGCATCCAAGCATTCATTGTCTCCTCCCTCTGCATGCAGACACTGAACTTTCCTCATAGAGATTCGTTGATTCAATTAATCTCTATGAGGAGATGCTGATTGGCCAGGGCTGTGTTTGAATCATGCTGGCTCTGCCCCTGATCTGCCTCTTTGTCAGTCTCAGCCAATCCTATGGGTAAGCACTGTGATTGGATCAGGCCACCACTTCTAATGATGTCAGCAGACTGCTTGTTTTTCTGAGTCTAACAGCATGCAGAGGGGGGGCTAGATGGTGGTGTTAACACTATAGGGTCATGAATTCATGTTTGTGTTCCTGACACTATAGTGATCATTTAAGGTAATGCTGACTTTGGTCTCTCTAACAATGTGGCATGTTCCCTTTCTTCTACACTCACTACATACAGCTTTTCTCTGTCCCAGACTATATACCAGGAGCTTTTGCCTGCTAGTAAGAAGGTAAGGAGACAAGTGGACCAGCGAGTGCTAGGGGACAGTCCTTAGAAAGCGTTGAGCGAGCACATCACTAGATGCATTTATGTCAAGCTCAGGGTGCTGTCTGCAAAGTATGCCCTTAGTTGGCCAGCTGCATGATTGGCAGGCAGCCTGACATGCATTCATGCCAGGCTGGCCTTCTAATTCTTTGAGCAGACATGTCCTCTTTTTGGGCAAGTTTGCCCCTTTTGGCTGGTTACGTGATTTGTGTCAGTGGCACACCCTTTTACCGTGCCCATTGACTTCCTGCTTGACTGGACACTGCTGTTAGGGGTTATTTATTTACTTGAAAGATGAAAACATAAATTAGAGAGAGATTAGCCTAGGGTATGTGTTTTATTAAAGCTGCTGTTTTCTATCTCTCCAGCACCATCTCCATCAGATACATGACGCTTGGGAGAGTTTTACTGTTTTTGGTCGATATGATTCTGTAATTAGGCCCGTCATAATTGTCAGCACCAGGCCCACTGGGCTCTTAATCTGGCCCTGTGTGTGTCTGTGTATCTGCATGTGTGTATATGTGTCTGTGTATCTGTGTGTTAGTTTGTGTGTCTGCATTTGTGTGTGTATGTGTGTCTGACTTTAACTCTAACTTACACTCAGTGCAACACATTTTGGTACAGACACTTTAAGGGACTGGCGAGAGTAATGAAGTGAAAGAGGGATATGATTGGTGTGAGGCAGATGGATTAAATGTTTATTGTTCTATTTAAATCTAAGTGGAAAACATAATGATACATTATATTTTTTCTCTGAATTCAGTTAGAATGATACCTATTCAATCCTATTCTTCTTTACAGCAACGATCACGATGAACTTTAAATTAACTGGCATCCCACGGATTGCAGCGAAGAAACTGCTACAAGAGGTAATTAAACTATCATGATTATTTACTAAAGTAGAAATTGTCCAAAGCAATTTTTATACCATACTTTTGTTTTTTTTTAAATACGATATGACTGCATCAGCTGATCAGCCAAATCAACATGTACTTATTATACACCCCCATGTACTTATTATACGCCCTGATGCAAACCGGTTTGGACTCTACTCTGCCCCGGACAGAGACATCTGACATGCGTTCGTCATGGATGGTGGTTAGCATGTTTACATCCTTCCTGTCCCTAAATTTTAGTACAAGCACATCAGCTTTGCGAAGTGCTTTACATTCGCCTTTTTTTTAATTTTGCCTCTATGAGAGATTGTGGAAAGTCTTTTTGGCCTTTACTCGCAGAGTAAGCGCGTGGGGGGGGGGGGGGGGCATGGATCAGTTTTCGCACCGGGGCAACCATGGGTTGTGTGTACGCCACTGGCGTGTTTACTTGGATTATCCTTAGTTTATACCTGAATTTCAATTCCAGCTGAATTTCAGAGCTATTCCTTGAACTGTGCGATTCTGAGATTAATTTGAATCATGGAAACATATTTCACAAACTCATTAACCTCTTCAGGACCATCAGCGGTAAAACGTGCGTTTGGACCGCTGACGGTCCTGAACTGTCATAGCAAAAAATGGGCTGCGGGAAGCGATCAAAGATCGCTCCCGCCGCTATAACACTGTAACTATCTCCCAGACCTCCCAGGCAGATAGTAACAGCCAATTGTGGCGTGTGAGCCATCCGCGATCGCTCACAATTGGCTGCTGTCAAAGTGGGTGTTACAAACACTCACTTTGACAGTGATCTCTGCCCCTCTCTCCTCTGTAGCGTTTTGTGAGGCGAGAGAGACAGAGATGGTGATAGTTTGTTGCAGCAGAAGTGTTCCAGAGCTTTATACAGTATCTAAAGTGAATAAAAAAAATCCCTTTTAACCCCTTCCCTGCCAGATCTGTTACAGCAGTGCATTTGTACTGTCTGTATTTAATTTTTTGCCCTTAAAGGGTTTAATTTGTTTTAAAAATCTGTGTCTTGGTCTGTCTTAGTCAGTTTCCTTCCCCCAAATCTCCATTAGATTTTTGTGACAGGAGTTAGTTTAGGGATTGCTGTGTAGTCTGTTTAAGAAAAAAAGTATTAAAAAAAAGTGTGTGTTTGAAATTTGTTTTAGTCGTGTTTAAAACATGCAGCGTATGTATAACTTGCAGGAGGCATATGCCTTCTTGGCGTCAGACTCTGACGCCACTGACACTGCGTCAGATTTTGACCCAGGTCAGTTTTCTGACATGTCTAGTCAAGACGACATGCCATCTGTGTGTGAGCCGGCTGAAGAAAGAAGCTGTGCTTCCTCTGCTACGCCGAATGTGGAGGAGGACTGGGTACCTCCACAGTTAGCCGAGCCCAACGTCCCCCCTTTTAGTGCCAACGCAGGCATTAATGTTAGTGTGGATGGCTTCTCCCCAATGCAGTATGTAAAACTATTTTTAGGGGATACCATCTAGGAGGAGATTGCTTCCCAGACTAACTTTACCAATTTATTGATAACAATCCAGGTAGTTATACAGTCAGGGATCATGACTGGCATCCCACAGATGTCCCAGAGCTTAAAAAATTCTGGGCTCTTACAATGCTCATGGGGATTATAAAGAAGCCATCGATTCGCTCATACTGGAGCACCAACACAATAATGTCTAGTCCAGTATTCTCCCAAACCACGCCTAAAGCCACATACTAGTTACTGCTGAGATTTTTACATTTCAGTGACAATACCCTCTGTCACACTAGAGATCACCCCCAATACGATAGGCTTCATAAAATACGCCCACTGCTAGACCATTTTCAGGACAAATTTTCGGATGTTTATACTCCCCAACAAAATGAATCCATTGCTGAATCGCTAATGAAATACAAAGGGAGATTATAGTTCAGACAATACATCCCCTCAAAGCGCTCTAGGTATGGCATAAAACTGTACAAACTCTGCGAGAGCGAAAGTGGATACACATTTGCTTTTCGTGTATATGAGGGGAAAGATCTTCAACTGGACCCTCCTGGCTGTCCTGACTCCCTGGGGACAAGTGGGAAACTTGTATGGGACCTACTAAACCCCTTGTTTAATAAAGGTTACCACCTTTATGTGGATAATTTTTATAGTAGTGTCTGTCTGTTTAAAACACTTTATGGTTTATAGACACTGGCCTGCGGCACTGACAGAAAAAATTCTAAAGACTTTCCACGATCTCTCATAGAGGCAAAATAAAAAAAAAAAAGGCGGGGAAGAGTAGAGTCCAAACCGGTTTGCATCAGGGCGTATAATAAGTACATGGGGGTGTATAATAAGTACATGTTGATTTGGCTGATCAGCTGATGCAGTCATATCTTATTTTATGAAAAAACAAATCATGGTATAAAAAGGTGGCTATCTGTCTGATGCAAATAGCAACCCACAACTAATTTTTGCTTTTTTTTTTTTTTTAAATAATCCAGGGAAAACCACCTTTCTCCAATTTAAGTTGAAAATAATTTATTTAACAATTTATGGAGATGGACAAGTTCCAACAACGGTCTAACAAGTTTTCTGGCAGTAACACATAACCAGCTGGCCAAAACCAGATGACGTGTGCATAAAAACCAGAATTAAAAAATTACCACTACACTTTCTTTGGGGGGCAAAATGGTTGGGGGAAAGAAGTCAAAACACCCCATCTTCTATAACCGTTGATGTCTACTTTATAAAAATATATACTATTAACTGAGGGGTGCAAAAATATGTCAAACTGAAGATAGACCAAGCATACCTATATATCAAGTTGAAAAACTGACATTTACAAGTTCTGATTGTTGCTTTTTGGCCCCCAAACAACCCAGCAACCCTATACTTGGGGTGTGTCACTGTACTCGGGAGATGTTGCTGAACATATTGCGGTGTTGTTTGGCAGTGACACATAACAGGATCTGTTAATTCATGCCTAAAGTACAATGTGTGTGACAAAGAAACAAAAAAAGATTACTACCCAAAAGTTTGACAAAGGCTGGTGGTAGAATATATGGCTTGATGGGGGTAAAATACATTGGCTCAAATGGGACATGGGCGCAGGTTGATTACATGTCAAAATTCCAAGTTGGGAAACTGATAAGCGCACCTGCCAAATGTGGCCTTTTAGCCCCCAAAGAACCCGACAGGCCTATGCATGGGTGGTATCACTGTACTCAGGAGATCTTGCTGAACACATATTGGGGCTGTTGTTCGGCAGTGACACATAACAGGATCTGTTAATTCATGCCTAAAGTACAATGTGTGTGAAAAAAACTGAAAAAAATGTACTAACTCAATGTTTGACAAAGCCTGGTGGTAGAATTAGTGCATGGAAAGTGTTAAAATACCACCATGTGCAATACCCTAGGGTGTCTTCTTTTCAAAAATATATAGTTTGATGAGGGTAAAATACATTGGCCGGCTTCAAAAATGTCCCAAATAGGACATGCATGCAGGTTGACTACATGTCGAAATTCCAAGTGGGGAAACTGATATGCTCACCTGCAAGATGTGGCCTTTTAGCCCCCCAACAACCCAACACACCTATACATGGGGGGTATCCCTGTACTCGGGAGATGTTGCTGAACACATATTGGGGTGTTGTTTGGCAGTGACACCTAACAGAATCTCTGAATTTCTACCTGAATTGCAATGTATGTGAAAAAATTAAACTACCTATGCAAAGTTTGGCAAAGGTTTGTGGTGAAATGGCTGCATAGAAAGTATCAAATGAATGAATACCCTGGGTTATCTAGTTTAAGAAAATATATACATGTGGGGTGTTTTTTGGAGATTTATGACATAACAGTGTTACAATGTCACTATTGATACATTTGAAAAATTTACATTTTGAAACAGCAATTTTCTACTTGTACTTATAGCCCTATAACTTGCAAATAAAAGCAAAAAAAACCACATAAACACTGGGTGTTTTTAAACTCAGGACAACATTTTGAATCTATTTAGCAGTTTGTTTCATTCGATTTTGTAGATCAGTAAAAGATTTTTTAAGTAAAAGTAAAACGTGTTTTTTTAAATTTTTCACCATATTTTATTATTTTTTTAAATTAAATTATATGACATGATAAAAATAATAGTATGTAAAGAAAGCCCTTTTTGTCCTGAAAAAAAAAAATATAATTTGTATCGGAACAGTTAATGAGAGAGCGGAAAATTACAGCTAAACACAAATACCACAAAAGTGTTAAAATAGCTTTGGTCCTTAACGTACAAACATCACAAAACCAGTCCGGTCCTGAAGGGGTTATTATACTGTTCAGTCCACAATGTTTACAGAGAATGTACTGTTTGTGCAATGCTGCCATCATGTGGCCATTTTTATTATTACATGGTTTAACTTCACACATACAAGAATTTTTATTTATTTATAAAATTGTTACCATGAACATACTTGAATCCAGGACATACTTGAAAAAGAAAGAAATCTCAATGTATCTTTTGTGGTAAAATATTTTATAAATAATAAGCAGCTATTTAGGAGTTAAATCCCTTTGTGTAGGCAGCCCTAGCCACACCTCCTTGCATGTGACTTACACAGCATTTCTAAATACTTCCTGTAAAGAGTCATCTAATGTTTACACTTCCTTTATTACACAGTCTGTTTAATTTATAATTCCTTATCTCCTGCTCTGTTAAAAGCTTGCTATGCCTTGCAGGAGCCTCCTGTATGAGATTGAAGTTCAATTTACAGAGCGAGAGATAAGGCTGCATACACAGAAACAAATGTGATCTAACTCATAAATGGCAGATAATTCAGTGATGAGCCTGCAGGGGCATGATCTATACACCACAACTACTACTTTAATCTAAAGTTGATTTGGTTACTATAGTGTTCCTTTAAAATAGAGTCTGTTCTGCAGGATAAACAAATACACATCTGATTATTCTACAGTTACTTTGCCAATTCCATCAAAAATTATTTCAGGTATCTATTACCCTTTAAATATCACTTTTAACAGTTATTGCTTCCACTGGAAGGCTATTCCAGGCATTTACTACATTTTCTATATAACACTTAGGCTTTATTGCTTCCACAGGATGGCTATTCAAGGTATCTACTACCCTTTCTAGATAATTGTTAGCCTCTATTCCTTCTTCTGAAAGGCTATTCCAGGTATCTACTACCATTTCTGTATCACTGTTACTGCTTCCACTCGAAGGCTATTCCAGGTATCTACTACCATTTCTAGATCACTGTTACTGCTCCCACTGGAAGGCTATTCCAGGTATCTACTACCCTTTCTATATCACTGTTACTGCTCCCACTGGAAGGCTATTCCAGGTATCTACTACCCTTTCTATATCACTGTTACTGCTCCCACTGGAAGGCTATTCCAGGTATCTACTACCCTTTCTATATCACTGTTACTGCTCCCATTGGAAGGCTATTCCAGGTATCTACTACCCTTTCTATATCACTGTTAACTTTCCAATGGAAGCAGAAAAGGCTACTCTTTTTTTATATCACTGTTAGCCATTACTGCTCCCACTGGAAGGCTAATCCATGTATCTACTACCCTTTCTATATCACTGTTACTGTTTCCACTGGAAGGCTAATCCATGTATCTACTACCCTTTCTATATCACTGCTAGCCTTTATCTCCACTGTATAACTGAGTATATATTACTCTTTCAGTAAATTAAGAGCGTCGTTAATGGTAGCAGACCAGGTATTTTTTTCCTTTACATGTTTTACCAAATGTTCGAAAACCCGAAAAACTAATTTAAGATTCTTGCAACAGTTTGCTTTAAAAAAAGAAAAGACAATTCTAAACCTTTGAATATCAAAAGAAAGAACAACCCATTGAGTGTAGAATGTGTCACCTCTCTGTCACCTAACACGAAAGGTAAACTATGATTAAAAAATTATACGGGTTCTGAGATTCCCAATCCAGCAAAGACGAGCTAAGAATGATCTTCTTTGTTTCCCCATCCGTATGTGGAGACGGATTGCCAAACCAATAGGTTTTCCTAGAATAGCAATATTGAAGTGCACCAGGTGATAGCCTACTCCCCAACATCGCGTCCCAGGAAGCAGGACGCCGGTAAGAGGAGGGTGAAGGGGGCGGATAACACATTAATTATGTGTTTATGCTGCATCTTTTGGACTCAGGTCTCAGGTGTCTGCGAAAGTGAAAAATCAGGGAACAAAGTTGGGACAGAACCCGTAAATAAGGACTGTCCTGCAAAAATCGGGAAGGTTGGGAGGCCCTGAACCACTGTTCCATACACACTGCCGGGGTGAGGCCATTGGACTGAATGATCAGTCACTGCCACAGGACTCAGTGCAGTTTGTGGTGACAAAACAAACCGCTGTGGTTAGAAACACTGTAAACATTTGATAAGAAGGATTAACAGCATGGCTTGGATGTGAAATCTGACACAGTTATGATTGTGTAGCGATTTTCAAGTAAAAAACTCACAGACAGCGAGTTAGAAAAAATGACAAAACAAACAAATGAAATCCTTTAAGTAAACCAATGTAACACATAGAATAGGTTCACTTTATGGTAAGACCTCAACCAAATACATTCAGATTCCTTTCTTTCAATCCCACCACTGTAAACAGTGGTGGGGGGCAGATGATTAAATATAATCAGTAGCGTTGGGTACAAAGTACTTTCCTTTGCATTTGCCTTCATGAAATCGTATTATTTCTCTAGTAGTGGGTGAAAAAATATAGTAATTCCCCCCCCCCCCTTATATAATGAAAGGAAGAATTAAGGGTGTCTAGTTAAATTTTAAACTGTGCCAACTACTGGGGTACTACCTGCACTCAAAGAGTGTGTGAATCTCAGGTTATTAAGAAAGAGTGCGACCAGCATGGGATGTCAGCAGCCAATCAGAAGTTGTTATTTACTGATTAGTACTCAGTATTCCACTGTACAGGAAAGAGGAAACGTATAGAAACATAGAATGTGACGGCAGATAAGAACCATTCAGCCCACCTAGTCTGCCCAAGGCTCTTAAAGCAGCTCTGTCACCAAACATAGCTCTCTGCAGTCATTTTCTCTTCTCTTTCTCTCTCCTGATCTGTTTTTCTTTTTTTAATTTTTCATCTTTTTCTCGTGAAATAAATAAGACATAAGTAGTCTACCTTGTCTCGTGTATTTTTCCTACACTTGACACTTGTCATGTACCATTTTCCCATAATCCTCACCTGCCTGTGGCATCCATCCTCTAGAATCTGCCAATCTAACTCTCCTTCCCGAGCCTCACGCATGCCCAGTACAATCGCCTTAGCTTTTGGCTTCCTGGGCGTGTGTTTCCATAACAACATGTGCTCGATCAGAAAGGGGAGAGAAAGGAATGGTAGTAGAAGTTGGTGACAACATGTCACTGCCAGGCTTCTGAAGATGGCACTGGATAGAAACAAAATTTGGTGCTAAGAACAAAGAGCTAGTTAGAGGTAAAAGTAGGAGACCTGCACCAAAAACATTTATTGTGAAGGGGAAGAAGACAAATCGGGGAGGGAGGTCTGGGGTGGAACATTAGTAAAAAAAAAAGTGGTTCTCTTTGACAGAGCCGCTTTAATGATTCTTAATAACATGCAAAATTAAACTAGAATTGTTCTATAGTTTTCATAGAACACATGGAACCGGTTAAGGTTTAGGAGTGTTCTAAGATGGGCCATTGATACTTTGTGCTATAATTATTTTCTTTGTTTTCCTCAGGTGTGCTCACTGCTAACCTATGCTCCATCCAACATTTCTGGAGTTGTGATGACTTTGTTTCAAAAGAAGAAGATTTCATTAAACTGTACAAATTATTAACCCTTTCATAACCTTTCACAGATCCCTTGTCAAAACACTGTCATTAGAATGCAAAATGTCATAGTGTTCCTGTAACTAAGGTAGAAAAAAAGACTTGACTCACGTTCAGCCTTTGACAAAACTTTGTTTATAATGCTGAACCAAAAAAAAATGTAATCTGAAGCAATTTACTGTTTTGCCACAAATTGGGGAAAAAATTCCTTTTTGACTTCTCCCAATCAGATTGTCCTTGGATCAATATCAACCAATCAGATCCATAGAAAGACATTTCTGAGCGTCTCTTCATGCATCTCTTCGTTTGTAGAGAACATTCAGGGCATCTATTACATTTTAATAAATAGAGATATTGAGGAATTGTTATAGTCCCGGTGCCTAATATACTTACCGATTAGTGGACTATCAGATCATGAGTGGTTGGGCATGGTGGGCCAGCTCAGGGGCTTGTTAGCGACACCAAATGCATCACTGAGATGTTTCTTCATGGTTGTTCCTGCTCCCATCCCAACTGTGGCCAGCATTAGGTAGGTCTTTAATGCCGAAATTCTTTCACCAGTTGTATTTGTGATTTGTACTATGTGGCAGTGCCAATTGCAATATGAATTGAATGTCTAATTTCATAAAATGGGCCCGTCCTCATTTTTTTCCCAGGACCCAATTCTGGGACTGCCCTAATACAAGCTGAATTGATGGCATCTGATGTTATGTTGAGTATATGAAGAAACCTTGTAGTTTTATTCAGGAATGACGCATTGAAAGTGCCATTAATACTCTGAGGTATCTCTTCTATAAATGTTCACTTGCTGGAAGACGCTTTTAGGGTTATTTACAAAAATGAGAAAATGAAGTGAATTCAAGGTGAACTTCAAATTTAAATAAACACTATAGGGTCAGGAGCACAAACAATGATTCCTCACCGTATACTGTTAAAACTACCATTTAAAACCCCTGGTGCCCCCTTGCCTCCATAAATATAGTATACTCTTACCTTTATTCCAGTCTGCTACTGCTGGCGTTGCCCCTGATCTGTCTGCTTGGCTGACATTATCAGAAGTGATGATCTCAGCCTAATACAATGCTTCCCCATAGGACTGAGACTGTCAATGAGGCAGACCAGGGGCAGAGCTAGCACAAAACAAACACAAGCTCTGGCCAATCAGCATCTCCTCATAGAGATACACTGAATCAATGCATATTTATGAGGAAAGTTCAGTGTCTCCACGCAGAGGTCGGAGACACTGAATGTCAGCCATAGTGTGCAGCACTGCCCCAGGAAGCACCTCTAGTAACCATCTGAGGAATGGCCAGTGGAGGTATCCCTTTTATATCCTAGCAAAAATCCTGATTATACTAACCAGAACAAATATAATAAGCTGTAGTTTTTGGGTGACTATAGGTGTCCCTCTAAGGCCAGAGTAGCCAAACTCATAAACGTATAGCTGAATTAAAGAATTTTTCCAGTTTGACAATTTTGACCTTGAGTTTGAAATTCACTTTGGGTTCTCACTTTAGTGAATAACTTTGTTTATTTGATACAGGAATACACATACCTTAATATGGATTTAAAAATGGTTAAAATGCTCTTCCAACAGTGAAAATGCATTATCCAGTGCAGCATGGGGAAAGAAAATTGTAAACCTACCTGTAGGATTAGTAAATGGCTTGCTTCTTTGTCCAGCATGATTGTGTAACATGCTCCGTATTCTTTACAATATGGAAGGGTCTCCTCAAACCCAGTTACTCTGAGGTTTTGTACAAAATGTTGTTTAAACTTTTATATAAATTGTGACTAAAATCAGATCATGTGTCTCATGTTACATTCCTAACAATATCCTGGACATAATATTTTTGGATAAGTATTTAAAATAATTTGATATCATGAAACATTATTAAATGTTTATTTTGAAATGTAATATTTTGATATTCTCCCCTTATATTAAGACAAAATGTATTTGTAAGGCCTGAAAAATAATATTAAATGTAAATATACACTGCTGTAAGTGTCCTGTCAATCACTGTTACAAGCTCTGCCCATTGTTCATGTCAGTCATCACAGAGAGAAGGGAAGAGGAGAAAATGACACAATATTTGTGTTTCTCCTTCTGTGATGCAATGTTTGTGCCTTGGCTGTGCCAGGATGGAGCTTGGCTGTGATGTCATTAAGTGTTCTTGCATAGCAAGAGAGTAACTATGTGACCCATCTACCCATCTCGCCTCTGATGAGCCACTCTGGCGAAACGCGAGCATCAGGGGCTAAAGGTGTTCCATATCTCACTAGTGTCCATTTGAGACACATGGATTAACCATTGAACACCTCAACTTGTATGCCCTATATGTTTCTTACTCTCTATCACTCTGATATTTTTTTTATCATAGTTAGTACTGGAGGACTCTCTCAATTAGGAAGGGAGCATGGGGGCTATATAAAGGTTTATTCTTTAACAGGTGCCCTCAAAGGCACTTTACAAGTAGTGTTACGTTCACCTCTGGTCCTAAGATGCATACTGTACCTCTATGAGAGACTACTTATTCACATAATTATAGATTCTGTAGCCCACAGCTATTTTGGTTGTATCTGCTACTTTATATCTATTGTCTTATTAGGACCTTTTGCCTTGTCCTGAAACATCCAACCACTTGATATCAGTAGGTCATTCTGATTCCACTATTTTGAATAGTTTGATTTTACATTGTAATTAATATTTGTATTGTTTTTAGCTATATTTAGTTTGTCACCATTAGAGTGACCTCTTCTTCTCTATTTAGCAACACACCATTTACCTTTCTTTCTTTTCTTTATTTGTCATATATTTGATAATTCACTATTTAAGGGTGACCCTCCCCCCCCATTATTTTTTTGTTTTGTGATCCCTTCTGAAATGTTGTCTCTCTCTCTATTTTTCTGTATAATTATGTGGCCCAAAAAAATAAAAATTTTCCCCTTGGGATATATTTACAGCAGTTGTTTTTCTGCTAATTCCAAACAGTGACACATCGAAACTCAGCAGAATGACTGTATCTGGCTGTTTCAGATTTTTATCATTTTTGGCGTTAATGTTTGTAAAGCTGTAATAGGTGGTTTATCTCGCATGCCTTGGGGTCGTATTTCCTGGCTGAAATCTGCAGAGAGATCTATAGCCTCAGATTACTCAGCTATAATAACTGAGGCATGCATTGACTGATTGGCATTGAGCTGTGTTATTTACAGACATTTATCCTTTAATCATAGAGTCTCTATCTCTGGGTAAACACAATGAATGGGGTGAGGCACTTTAAATTGATGAAAAGACATAGAGATGTAATAGTGCGTGAATGTTGCTGAACCAGTTCCTGTCCCCACTTTGCAATATCTTCTACTGAAACCACTGGTGGACAAATGACACCCATATCACTCATTAACGTTCTGAGTAACTACTGAACAACGGATAATATGCTCAGACCATGTGACCATACAAACTACATTTCCCATGATACTCTCTGATCTGTGCACCACTGACAATATTTTCTATGGGAATCATTTCCCACATACTCACTGATCATTTTGCAGCTATTTCAAAAAGCATATAATAAAACCGCAATATAACATTCACAAGAACGTTTAGGTGGACTGAATAAGAAAAATTAAAACGGCAAATACTGAACATATGAGAAATCCATGCAGGCAAGCACATGGTTATAAAGCATATTAAAGATGAAGAATGCTGATCTGTTGACATATCTGAAATAATAATAATATAATAAAGTGAAACACCTATAAATATTGAAGGGACTGTCTATGCACTCTTAAAAAAGACCGTAATGTTGGAAAGTGTCAGTGCTTACCATTGTTTTATTCTTTATTTAATAGAACTTGTTTTTACCTTGTGCAATACATAGTGTGTTTACTTTCTCCTTTGACTTGTCTACTTAATTAAGTTAAAAGGTGGTTGCTGATACACAGTTTGCTTGGTAACCAGAACTTGATTCAAGATTGCGATCTGATCAAAGAATTCTTTGTGGATCCTTTAAGTCTGAGCCAGCTATGTTTGACTCAGTCACATGTGAGTGTAATGGGGAAAATGTACATGTGTTTCAAATATTTGTTACATATTACATTAGGGTTTGCGTCTCTTTTTTATTGTAGGCTGGTTGGTTCAGGTGGTAATATTTCAGCCATTTATTTTTTGTGTGTGCTCTCATCATTCATTTGGTTATATATGAAATGATGTTTGTATTTGTTAGTGAGGATCAGGTTGTGGTAAAAGAGTTACATTCATTTTGTCTTGCTTTTGTACATATTAAACAATAGCTGAGGCTGCAGGTTTGCAAATTAATTTAAAGAGACATTTTAAGCACCAAAACAACGTTATCTTAATGAAGTAGTTTTAGTGTTTAGATCAGGGATAGGCAACCTTCGGCACTCCAGATGTTTTGGACTTCACCTCCCATGATGCTTTGCCAGCATTATGGGTGTAAGAGCATTAATGGGGGATGAAGTCCATCTGGAGTGCCGAAGGTTGCCTATGCTTGGTTTAGATCATGCCTCTGAAGTTTCACTGCTCAAGTATCCATCATTTAGGAGTAAAATCACTTTTGTTTCTGTTTATTCAGCCCTAGGCACAACTCCCATGACTGTGACTGACACAAGCAAAACACAAATGGGATACGGCTGCAAAATCTAAAAAAAACATAAATAGAACATAGTGCAATACAATTTGAACAGGTTATATATGCTGTATAAAGGTGCACTCACAAGATATAGACATATAATGCGCTCAAGGGTGCCTCCCCCAATGTAATTGGATGGCTGAAAATCTCCCTCCGCTGCCCGCAGAATCGCATGAAATCAGGACTCTGGAAGGTAGTATAAAATAGCAGCTTTACTATAACTCCAATAAAATGATAAAACAGCAGTAGTTGTGGTCTTACGCGTTTCATCCCACACTGGGAACTTCCTCAGAGACCATAAAATCAAAGCGGTTACAAATGCTTGTACAGAAATAGAAGTCTGCATGAAAAAAAAAGTTTAATTTTCAATCAGATTTTACAAAACAGTGTGTTTACTTTAGAAGTTTTTTGTTTAGTTTTTTTTTTTTAAATCTCCCATTAATTGAACTTTAATCACACACACGCAGGCTCTAGCAGGATATCGGCAGAGCAGGAGATAAGACATTCTAAATTAAACATAATGTGCAATAAGAGAAACTAAAAATTCTCTTTTTTTCAAGAAGTGTGCGGGGAGGCTGTGTGAATCTCAGCCAGGAGAGGTGTGGCAGGGCTGTACAAACAAAGTGATTTTACTCTTAATGCATTGCGATTGCAGGTGCAGGACCTATACAAAAATTAAAAAAAACTGCTTCATTAAGTTAAAGTTATTTTGAAGCTTAGAGTATTCCTTTAAGAAATTAGCAAACATGCATTTCTGACATGGGACAGAGTGCAGAAGCAAGTAAAGTAGATAAAGCTTCATTGGAACTACTACTTAGGGAACTTAGTCTAGTGATAGCCTGGTGATTATTTTATCAATCTCTGTACACTTTTTGTTTTTCATTTTAAGGCTAGATGGCTAGGCCCATGGCTGTGTCAGTCCCTCCAGTAATAGGGAATGGCAGAGAGACTCTTCAACTAGAACTGGCTGGTGTTGCTTCTAAATCTGGATCTAAGTAGGATCCAGAAAGACGTAAAGGGACACTCCAAGCACCATAAATAGGTTGCTGCCCTGGTGCAACCCATTGTAAGCCGTTAATATGTTTTAGAAGGTTGTGACTTTTTTACCTGGGATCCACCATGTGCTGCTCCCTGTGTGCACGTCTTCCAGCAAGGACCCAAGAGCCCTCTGTCTGAGCTATAATCAGCAGTGCCAGGCTTAGCTTATTGACTGACAGTGATCAGCTGATGTGTGTGTAAGGGGGGTGCAAGGCACTTCTGGCATCATAATAATAAGTGATCTGTAGTGGTTATGGTGCTTGGAGTGTTTCTTTAAAGGAAAACTGTCACTTCAAACTCTAATTAAGAGTAGATTTTCATACCTCTTTATCCTGCGACGTGTTACTTCAATCTTAGCTCCCTGTCCCTGTGCCCTGCGCGTTGACTTGTTTTAACTGGAGTAAGATTTAATTTGCTAAACCTTTAATATAAACTTACAAAGAAAATAGAGCATCTCATTAAAAACACAAACAGAACGACACATTGTACACAAGGTTAACACAAGTGACAAAGATTTTCAATGGTTTATTGGATGCTGCAGAATGGTGACATTATATTAAATAACATTCTACAAATTCCCAGATTTTACTATTAACATGACGTAAAGTCATGATTTTATTAATGACACGGAGGCGAGTATTATGCATTCTCTTTCTTTATTATACTCCCAGCAGCAAGAAAAGGAAGTATGAGAGAATCATATAAAAAACATCACAACAGCCTGGTCACAGTGGCACCAATCAGCATCCAGTATTATCCATATGGGTGTGGTGCTCCTTGACTCCTCCTCTTTCTGCGTAGATCCCGAAGACCATATTGTAAGTTCCAAATATTCCAACAAACACGAACTCCCGAAACAAAACCATAACCGGAAATTCAACAGGGAACAGCTTCAACCGCCAACTTTCACAGGTGTATTCAGGCTAAAAAAGAAGAAATATATGGTAATATCGAGACTTGCGACTGCTATTCCACAGTTATCCAACTCTTCCACTACGTTATTCCAACACT